TTGTAAAATCCGACGTAAAACCCTTGGATTTGATCGGAAATTATTGGTACTTATCATGTGTTGGAGCTTTCAATTTTTCTGTCAATTTGCATATGTGATCTGTCGAAATGGTGCCTTCTTTAGATAGACGTATCGTATAATTTAAAAAAAGCGTTAAAGTTAGCTTAGAAATTTCGATGGATCTTGGCTTTCAATGATAAATTTAAGATATTTTCAGTAATTTGAATATTGTTTATCATCATCATCATTTTCAGCATATTCAACCATTTCCAATTATGGGGTAGCCTTCGTTATGCGGGTCCAACTTATCCCTGCTAATTTCCTAATATCATGATCCCATCTCAGGTTTGTTCTTCTTCTAGGTCTTTTGTCGTATCCACTCTATACTTTTACGGGTTTTCTTGGTTAATCCCAGCATATTCGGTTCTATTGAGCGTTGTGCGACCTGTAGTTTCCTTATAATGTCCAGGTTTCGCATGCATAAGTCACTGATAGTAGTGGTAGTACACATTGGTCAAATGTTTTCTTCTTTAGATAAAGTGGCATTCTAGATTTGAATATGATTGAGTTTCTTCCCTAAGTACAGTACGTCTGCTGGATCGGTGTCTATGAAAGGAATACGGACAAAAAACATTTAAATAAACAGAAATATATTTTATACGTCGACTTGACGAGTACGTCACCGCAAATCGCTCCGCCCACTCATTTTATTTGCTACTTGCAAATTTGTCGAATTTTTATTGATGGGACGTGTCGTCTAATTTTTTACGAAAAACATGGAGAGAATGTCGTTTCCCCTCTCACGGATACCCCGTAGCTACAGAACGGACAGACGTACTGTACTCCATGCTAACTTAATTATTCGTTTGACTTGTGGTAGTAGAGCTCTGTATTAGTCGTCCTAAATATATCCATCTATTTTTAATCCTTTGCTGATCAAGTCCAGTTGACGGAAGATTTCTTCTAGTGTTGACGTAAACAGCTTTGGAGATATCGCGTCTCCTTGTCGTACTCCCTTACCAGTTGGGAACTCTGGGGTTGTTTTATATATCATTACATACTCTTGCTTTGGCTTCTTTGTAAATATTGGAGAGAGTTTCTATATAAGGCCTATCAAAGTTTCGCGAGGGCATTGTTTTTTTGAAATAAATATATAAATATTTATATACCACTAAAAAAGTGTTATTAACTTACTTTGATAAAACCAATTCATTTTAATAAAATATATTTCGTCTAAATATATATTATCTGATATCTGATCTGGTGTTAATGAATTGATGACCTTAAATGAGACAAAACATGTTTTCCCAAATACAAAGAAATACTTGAAAGCATTATAATTCTTTATTCCTACCGAATCGCAATAACATATTCCATATGGATATTATTTATTTTCTTTTTGTCTATTACACATATTAATCGCTTATTACACATTTTGGTTGATCGGATGTTTGCGACATAGGAACAATTTAAGGTAGCTCACAACGTATGTGTTATTTGTTCCGCATTGCAAATCAACATACAAAATCAATGTCCGTGGCACACCTGAGTAAACCTATAGTTTAGACAATAATTTCAGACAATAATCAGGTGATAATAAAAATATCGATGAGTATCGATAATTTTGAAGTCACCTATCATCCCTATCTTTGACAATGTATTATAAGCAAAAAAAAATAAAGTCAAATAAAAATACAAATCGTCAAGAAAAACAAAAATTAACAAACAAAATAATTTCGCGAGAAGTATATACAGGCCACACATTCTATTTTTTTTTCAAACGCCACGAATAAGTTTTTAAACAATTTCAAGCGTTCCAAATAGTATATAAAAAGATTTAAGTCATAAGGGTCATACCTTGTATGAAAGTATACAGGGTGGGCCACTGAAAACTTACAATGGCTATAATTCTTAAACCAAAAAAGATATCAAAAAAATTAAAAATACCGTTTCTATAATATCGAGGGGGAATACATATGACGTATTTTTTGAACCACCCCGACCTACCCCTTAGGGAGCACCACTACTCACTTGAAAATCTTAAATGGCAACACCCCACTTGTGGCGCCTTTTTGGAAAGCCCATGAAAAATGCTAAACGATGATCATAAAGTTTTGAAAAACTACCCCTTTCACGAAAAATTAGGTGGACATTAATGAAAAAAGTGATTTTTTTCAGCATAAGTTACAAATTGGAACCCAGCTTAATGAGGCAAATGAGGTATTTTTCAAACCACCCCGACCCACCCCTAGGTGCCACCTACTCACTTCTAATCTCAAGATAGCGATACCCCACTTGTGACACTTCTTTGGAAAGCTAATTGAAATTGCTAAACGATGGTCATACAGATTTCAACTTCTGTCTTCTTTCAGCAATTACTGGTAAGTAGTGATAAGAAATGTAGGTTTGACAATTTGAAAGAAATTTAAAATGATAATTTATTTTAACAATTACTCAAAATGACAGCCGTTTTGTTCCATACAAAAATATAAACGATTTTCAAATTCTTCTCTCACTTTTTGGAAAGCCTCTCTCGGAATATTTCGACATGCTTCAGTTATCCTCTGCTGCAATTCTTGCAACGAACCTGGTTTTGTCTTGTAGACTATGTATTTAGTGTAACAAAACACAAGAAAAAGTCTAAAACAGTGAGATCAGGTGACCTTGGCGGCCACTCGATTGGACCCCTTCTGCCAATCCATTGCCTTGGATAATATCTATCCAACCACCGCCTTGTGATAATAGAATAATGCGAAGGGGCTCCATCTTGCTGAAAGTGTATGAGGTCATTAAGAGTTAAATTTCCTTCCAAATCTCTTTGATTTTCAACCTCATTTACACTGGCTGGCTCTATCAAATTGTTCAGCATTTTCACATAAACATCACCAGTCAAATTTCCGTCGATGAAAAATGGACCTATAATTTTATCGCCTAGTATTCCTTACCAAACATTGAGCTTTTGGGGATGTTGGGCGTCTCATCGCTCCAGTATCTGCAGTTCTGCTTATTCACAATTCCGTTTAAAAAAAATGAGCACTCATGACTAAAACAAATTATTAATTAATTTTTAGTAAGTGAAGGTTCCTTTCGAATTTCCTCCGTCATTAGTTCACAGAACTGAATCCTTCTATCTGGATCGTCGTCGCCAAGTTCCTGCAGAATCTTCATTTTGTAGGGATGGAATTTATGCATTTTCAATACTCTCCTGATAGATGTTCGAGGTATACCTGTGATTGATGCCAACTGGCGTGTTGATGCTTCTGGATTGACCGATACCTGACCAATAACTTCCATCTGCATTTCTTCATTCGGTACCCTGGGCCCTGTCCTTGTTTTATTTTTGACCGACCCAGTTTCTTGAAACTTTAAAAAATCAAATCAAAACATAAACGTGACTTACGTTTTTGTCCCGATTTCTCTCATTGAAAGCACGGGCAGTTCTCAAATAACACATACCTTCAGCACCATAAAGAAAAACTATTTGAATTCTTTCTTCCACAGTATAAACCATTTTTCTTTCAAATAAGCGAATCCAATAAACGTTTAAAACACCACCAAATTTGCAAACGATTGAAAATCGATAGAAGACTTGCAAAAACGCAAAGATATGCCGGTTTAAGATTCCTGTTTGTTGAAAGTAAAAAAATAGATGATAAGGAAGAATTTGCGTTATCGCAAAATTAAGCTGTAAAACATCTTTGTTTTGCCTTTTTATTATCTAGGGTATACCTAGGGGTGGTTTAAAAAATGCCTCATTTACCTCATTTAGCTGGGTCCCAAATTGTAACTTATGCTGAAAAAATTACTTTTTTCATTAATGTCCACCTAATTTTTCGTGTAAGGGGTAGTTTTTCAATTTCACCCTAAAAACGTTATGATCGTCGTTTAGCATTTTTCATTCCAAACGGGAACCAACTGAAAGCGGAACTGAAGAATCTGGAAGACTCCATCAGTAACTTGGAATGGGTGTCCTCCAACGGTCTAAGACACTCGAAAAAGTTCCTTAGAACTTATGACCGAGAAAAATCAAAGGTTTTCCTTGATTTAAGTAAAAACAATCTTCGGATTGTCACGGGGTTTCTAACAGGACACTGTCTCCTCAACGAACACCTCAGTAGGCTGAAACTGAGAAACAACGGCGAATGCAGATTTTGTGGGGAAAATGGGGAAACACCAGAACACCTTATCACTGAGTGCGCCGAGACGACGACCATTCGTGCCATGAACCTTGGTATGATGTCAAGGATGGAGAGCTGGCCTCTGTGGAGCCGTCTCAGATACTGGCTTTTCTTAAAGCCCTGAGACTGCATGATGAGTTATAACTCGTTATAACTCAAGAAAGGGGAACACACAATAGATCTATAAGGTCGCGGTGATTAACTCCCCTCCTAAACATTCTACATTCTACATTAGCATTTTTCATGGGCTTTCCAAAAAGGCGCCACAAGTGGGGTATTGCCATTTAAGATTTTCAAGTGAGTAGGGGTGCCGCCTAAGGGGTAGGTCGGGGTGGTTCAAAAAATACGTCATATGTATTCCCCTTCGATATTATAGAAACGGTATTTTTTTATTTTTTTGATATCTTTTTTGGTTAAAAAATTATAGCCATTGTAAGTTTTCAGTGGCCCACCCTGTATATCATGAAACTATGGTTACGCTCGTTGAATTTGACACTTTATGACCGTTTTATAATATATTTCCTCGTATTTTTATGCTTAGGCGTAAAAGTGCTTTACTTTTATGCCTAGGTATTAAAATTACTTTTTATATTGTCAATAAAGTCGCAAAAATTGATAATTTTGTGACGTTTGAAAAAAAAATGAACTAGTGTGTATTTTTCAAATACATATTATATAAAATATATTTTTTTGCGTAGTATAAGATGTTACTGATATTTTTATTGTCCCCCCCCCCCTTCTCATACATTGAACTGTCATGAATTATGACTAAAACAGTACATAAGACTTCTAATGAGAATAATATAAAACAATATTACTTACTTGTCAGCTTTCGAAAAGACCGAATGGCTGGGACTGCGTTGAATGGTTGAAGTGGCCAGGGGCTCTGGCAGCCCCTGGGGGGCCACGAGCTGCCCCTGAGGCGTGGCAGGTGCCGAACGGGGACCCGCGCTCGCAAAATTCCCCGACGACCTGAAACAATAAAAGTATATAGCGTTAAAACATTATATTATAAGTAATTATTACATATTTAAAAGTCATAATTAATGACAACTATGCTATTAAGCTCAATTAAGCTGTATTGTTCGGGTCGCTCTCAGGGGTCGGAAAAAGAAAATATTATATTTCAGAAATCTTTAGACACACACACTTTGGCTGACACACACATTTAAGCGACTCTCATATCTCCAGTAGTTTCCGAGATACCGATAGAAAACATCGTACGAAACTCACCCTGTATAAAACACTAGCAACAAAATATCTTGCCTTATTGTTAAGATATACACCTAAAATTCCTTCTATTATTTCGGATTTTATTATAATTGTAGTACTTAAAATAAACGGTAATCAAAGTTTCAGTCAAAACTGGAAGAACTGGTCCTTAACAAGCTATGCAAATAATTTGGGCAAAATGCAAAATTTTTGAATACATTTGCATACGAATCTGGTTATTCATACTTTGTGCTTCAAACTTGACCTTTAGGCTACCTACCGAATGTGTTTGGGTGATTGTCTACTGCCAATATACGACATTCTTGTTTATATTTTTAAGTACAGGGTGGGCCAAATTGGACAGTTTTAAAGGAAAATATCCTTTTCTGTAGGAGATACACAAAAACTAATATCGGTGACTGGAGCTCTTAAGATGGTAAAAACCGCACATCGATATCTGTTGCCGATTCGGAGTTATTTTAAAAAAAAATGCATTTTTAACAAATCGCTGTAACTTTTTTGCTATGGAAAATTTTGTATTTTTAACATTTCCAAAGCACCTTTTTATGGAGAATTTAATGGTTTAGGTATATATTTTTTAAAATTAATATTTTAAGAGTTATCAATAAATAAAAAATCAATTCTTCTGTTGATAACTCTTAAATAATTAACTAAAAAAAATTATACTTAAATCAATAAATTCTACGTAAAAAGATGCTTTGGAAATATTTTCATAAAAATACAAAATTTTCAGTAGCAAAAAAGTTACAGTGATTTGTTAAAAATGCAGATTTCTTAAATAACACCGAAATCTCCGAAACGGCAACAGATATCGATCTGTGGTTTTACCAACATGTTCTTAATAAAATTGAGCTGCAGACACCGATATTAGTTTTCGTCTATCTCTTATAGAAATCTATAGGTGTCCTAAAAGTGTCCACCACCAGTGTTTGGTCCACCCTGTACAGTTGTTTGATGAGCGTGATAAGGTCAAGATTTGCACCCCACATAGTTTCCCATTTATCTGGGATCATTGTAAAATATTTCACGATCAATAAGGTTAAAAATATGCTTCTATTTCTAAGGAGATGATTTTTTAAAAGAATCGTTGAAGTATGAATAAGTTGTCGCCAAAAATAAGTAAAAAAGTTCGTATAAATATATGTCTTAAAATGCTTAGTTTCAGATATTTCAGTTTTTAGTATAGAATTTTCATTTTTATTTCGATTTTTTCTAAATAATTTCTGAAGTAACGTCAATATTTGGATGAAAATTGGTGTCTGCGTGTTTTTTGACATGAGAAATTTGATTTTGATGTCAATATTCACTCCTACTGGTAGAGGGCGCCACCTACATGAGTGTTAACTGTTTTGAAGTGTAATAACTTTTTGTCCGTACCTGTATAAAACTACCGAGCGAAAAAATATACATTTCCAATACTTTTTACATAAAAAAATATCTCTTTGTAAAAATCGCTACGAGCAACCGTTCTTAAGATATTTAGAATGAAAATAGTCAATACATGTCATTATTGACCAAAAATAAACACGTTGAGTAGATAGTTATTTCACTGAAATAATAAATTTGGGAAATTTTTATTTTTTTAAATTAATCATAATTTTTTTGCAAAAAATTATGATAAAAAAAAAAGATGATAATGATGATGTTTCTGTTGAACTTTTGGCACAAAAACATTTCAAATTTATGATTTCAGTCTAATAATTATTTAGTCAACATGTTTAATTTATGTCAATGATGACAGGTATTGATAATTTCGATTCCAAATGTCTCGAAAACCATTACTCGTAGCGATTTTTTTTACCAAGAGACCTTTTTCACGTAAAAAACGTTGTAAATGTATATTTTTATACTCAATAGTTTTATACAGGTACGGACAAAAAGTTATTACTCTTCAAACCAGTTAAAAAATATGTAGGTGGCGTCCTTTACTAGCAGGAGTCATATTGACATCAAAATCACATTTCTCATGTCAAAAAATACCTTGACACCAATTTTCATCAAAATATTGACGTTACTTTTAATTATTTGGAAAAATCGAAATAAAAATGACACTTCTACACCCTGTATCTCTCAAAGTAAACATTTTAGGACATACATTTATACGAACTTTTTAACTTATTTTTATCTGCTGAATATACTGCCGGAGTTTCCGGAATACAATTCGGACCACCCTGTATATTTGTATAAAAGAGTAATACCAGTATTACCAAAGACAATAAAAATATCCATAAAAGCTATATGCATAGTACCAACTACGTGATGAAAAAACAAAATCTTAGTAATCGTTTTATATTTAGTTATAATTGGTATGATACTTTTTCTTAAATACGGATTGCATCAACGCTAATTGGCTGACTCTATACATCAATTATTGTGCACGCAATCCTATCATCGACTAGGAGATTTCCTAACAATCAAACAAGAACGTGTGACAATTCTATTTTTCTCAGAATAGTTTTACGCGCACGAAAACCACCATTTAGGTTTTAAAGAACTTAACTATCCGTATTATTCACTTTAAAGTTAGATTTATTGCACTATCAGCTAAATAACAAACGCTTTTAAATTGTTTGTTGTGTAATTTGTCATGTTTTAAAGTCATTTATTAAAGGAAGCGGTAAAATTTGTAATTTAAATGACCATGTTTCATATTTGGATCGAACCCTTACTTTACATATCTGATAAGAATCGAATAATGGTTTGATATATTTGAGAAGTTTGTTAAGTTAAAGGCAGCAAAGAAGACATCAGAAACTAATAAGTCTACTATCAGTAACATACAAGATATTCACAAAAATAACAGAGACTACTACAAAACACGGTAGACGTTGCGAGTTATTTTAAATAACAAATAGTTTTGTTATTGTTAAGGTACCCAAAAACAAAAAAAAGTATCAAGTCTGGCATATCATTGTACTAAGGAGACCGAGTTCTCTCGTATTTAAAAAAAATAAGTTGGCGACTGTATCTCACAAATTATAAGCTAATTTGAAAATCTAAAAAAATTTTGAAATTCTCAGTGTACGATCTAATAATTTGCATAATATTAATCCTAATTATTATGAATAAATTAACTTCTACAAACTAGTTTCTAATGCTTTACATAGTCTACATGTTCAAAAGGGTTACCACCCTCCCTATTGCACAAATTTATTTTGTAAAATATAGACCTGTCGAATTACTTTACGTTATCAGACGGTCCAGGTACCTCGCTGGCCATTATACTGCTCTACCATCTCCAATCCATCTTCCGGGGAAATGATTTGATTGTTTATATTACATTTTATTATATTATTTTTTTATTATTTTAATGCATTTGATTTTCCGTATTCAACCCACGTCACTGTTAAGTTTGAAAGCTTATCAATATTGTAACGATGAATATATTAAATATTAAAAAAAAACAGGGCCGGACTTGAAATTAGTTTAAATAAATTGTGTCCAAATTTTCAAAACAAAAAAAATATTAAGTGTGGCATATCATTGTACTCAGGAGAGCGAGTTCTTTCAAAATCTAAAATTAAACTTGCACGTCCGTATTTAAAAAAATTAAGTTAGCCTCTGTATCTCACAAATTATCAGCTGATTTGAAAATCTAAATATACTCTCAGATAGCCCTAATAAAGTGGCTATGAGAATGTGCAATTAGTTTTTTGAGTTTCTAAAAAGTATCGACAAGAAAAAATAAAATTGATATACGTTTTTTCCAAAAAACTCAGCAATCCTTGAAATTTTTAAAACTTTTTTGATGGCATGTTGGTGAACATCCCAAAGCGCAACTTTGCCCCAATTAACCATGTTCGTATCTATTACGGTTACCGAGTTACCAATGCTCGTACCTCGAATTTGAAGCACCCTGTATATTCTACTATTTCCAGTGTTGTGTTATTTATTAAAACTAATTTATTTGCTTTTTAAAAGTTGAAATCTAAAATAAGGAGTAAAAGGTTTTTTTTGTGTGTAAACTATCGACCTTTTGAATACTAAAAAGGATTTCCACGTGTTACGCAACAATCAGTTAATTTGTCTTTTTTCTCTAGATTGTACTTGCGAATTTCCTATTAGGTGGATCTATGGTATATAGCTCCTGTTCTGAATTTAGGTTGACTATGGTTGAGTGATGATGTGAATCGATGTGAAGTAGTACTCATATAAACAGTTAGAAATTTGTATATCCTTTTGAATACATCTCAAGATTTGTTTTTGTATTCTAAAAAATCAAAACTAGACGTAGGTTCGTTTAATATGATATTGGTATTTTATTCAAAATTGTACGTTACAAATGTGAATGTTTCAGAAGGTAAGTATATTTCATATCTTCATCCGCCGCGCCGTTAGAAGCAAAAAAGGAAAAAACCAAACTAAAACCAACCATGTAAAGATAGATAAATTTAACAATATCGATAATACGTACACGTTAAGTAACCAGCTTTATTTATTTAAATAAACAATTTGTTTAAACAGAGCGACCGCCACTTCAAGCAAGGAAATGGTAAGCCATGATGATTATATTTGCCTAGTACAGCCTCTCAAGTAGTGCCGTTCGGATTAGGCGATAAAATGTATACGTATTACGTATATTCTTAATCTAAGATAAAATGTAGAACCCGTGTGAAAAATTGAAGACACACATTACAGTATAGTCAGTACAACGAGAAAATACATGACAATGACAGTTGTGTCCGTCATTCCCCCCTGAACTATTAAATTATATTTAGTCATATCTTAGAATTATGTAA